CTGGGATGCTGCCTGGTCTGGGATGCTGCCTGTGCTGGGATGCTGCCTGTGCTGGGATGCTGCCTGTCCTGGGATGCTGCCTGTGCTGGGATGCTGCCTGTCCTGGGATGCTGCCTGTCCTGGGATGCTGCCTGGTCTGGGATGCTGCCTGGTCTGGGATGCTGCCTGTCCTGGGATGCTGCCTGTGCTGGGATGCTGCCTTCTTCTGGGATACTCCCTCCCAAGAATGCTGCCTGTGCTGGGATGCTGCCTGCTTTGGAGTGCTGCCTGTCCTGGGATGCTGCCTTCTTCTGGGATACTCCCTCCCAGGAATGCTGCCTGTTCTGGGATGCTCCTGCCCCGGGACACTGCCTGTGCCCTTGGATGGAGCTGCCTATGGGAGGACTGCCCCACAAATCCCCTGGAAACAACCCGGTCCTTTTCCTTCCTGCGTTGAGGTCTGTTGAAACACCTCGGGCTCGGGAGCTCTGGTGGATCCACTGCCCTCGAGTGGGAAGGCTGCAGCCCCCAGCCCCTGCATGTCACCAGCAGTGGGATGGCTCCAAGGCTGCTGGCCCCAGCCCAGGTACCACCATCCTGGCTGGACCTGCACCACCCTGGCAGCCAGAGCAGCCCCCAAGCCTTCCAGGAGGTTCCTAAAAAATGCAGCAACGTGTGAACAGCAGCAGAATTTGGGTACAAAGAGCATTTCTTTCTGGGTGAAATGCAAGAGTGAGGGTTATTCTTCTTTCCCCCGGGGCTGGTTCTGTGTCAGACCTTTAGAACAGGCACTTGGAGGGTTGGCTTTTTATGGAGAAGTGGAGGCAAGGGCATAACAAGCTGGTTAAAAGCAAACAACAGAGCTTTCATGCTGGGGAAGTGGTTTCATTTACAATGGGAGCTGAGGGCTGTAACTGGTTGATGCTGGTGTGGGGATCCCTGGGTACCCAGAATGTCTGGGCTGTAGCTCTTGTGTGTTCACTTGAGGTTTTGTAGAGATAAAGATGCATAAACAGGCAGGATCTCACAATCTTAACACCTCTGTGCTTCCTCTACCTGGTACTTACCAGGACAACATCCTTTCTGTTGCCTGTAGCCTCCTGCCCAGCAGCACCATCCTCCCTCCTTGCTGTGGAATCTGCAGGCTTTTGTTCTTCTTAAAAGAGAACCCCCAGACTTTTCCACATGCCTGTGCTGTAAGCAGAAGGTTATTTCTCATCCTCCTCTCCCATTTTACTCCAGTCACTCTGGAGCTGCTTCAGGAATGGTCTAGTCCTCACCCAAGGAAACCACCAAAACTATTGGAAGGGAGACCCTTTTTGCCAGTTAACTCGAGGACTTTGGGGCCAGTTGTCTGTCAGGAAGCAAGCTGTCTGAAGGATGTTGACACAGTCAACAGGCATTTTCAGTTTATTGGAAGGCAGAGCATTTACTTGAAGAACCCTGGTGCTGTGATTGCTCATCCTTGCAGTTACTACTCACCCCCGGGAGGAGCTGCGTGGAGCCCGAGGCTGAGGCAGGGCAGCCGGGCTCCAACAGCCACATGAAACGAGGTGTTCTGCATTTTGCAAACCTGATGCACTTCAAATCCACCCGAATTCACTTTTTTTTTTTTGGGAGGGGGGTTGTTTTTCTACTAATGCACAGGCTGAGTGGTCCCTGTGGAAAAGCCCCTGCATCCCAGGCAGCACAAACAGCAGCATTTCAAGTTCTGCTTCGATTTGTTTCCAATAAAGCATCAAGTTGTTAACACTTGCAGCTCGGTGCCAGGTCGGGAGTTGGTGTGTTTGCCTCTGAAGTGTCTGATGCCTCCTCCCTGCTCCCCCAGGTCTGCAGGGAAGGGTGAAAAGGGAAGCAGTTGCTGATGCTGGTTGCAAAGCGCGGGGGGAAATACTGAGCTTGGTTCCCTTGAATCATTTGCGTAGAACATTTGGATCCAGAGGAGCTGCCGGGGCTGGAGCCAGGGGGGCTGGAGCTGGTAAGTCCAGGTTTTGCATTTCAACAGAATTTTTGAGCAGTCCTGTGGGGTTGAAAGCATTTCAGGAGGGTTTATTTTCGGCTGGTTGTGTTGTTACCAGAGCGTGTGTCTGCGGCGCTTGCTGTCGGGGTAGAGCTCACCAGGCAGAAGGAGGCTGGGGGGGCTTTGCTTTTGGAAAGCAGTGGGAAGAAACTGGGAGGTTGCTGGTTCCTGAGGTCTGATCCCAACGTTTGTTTGCAATACCGAGGTCTGGGAATCTTGAGACTGTGCCAGTCACCTGGGGTGAGCTCAGCTCCTTTGGATTCGGGGTCACCCGCACAAAGCTGGAGCACAGAGATGCTGAAAAGTGCCCGAGGGTCCTAGTGGGGTCCAGAGGTGGGGATGCTCCATCCCAAAGAGAGTGTGGGGTTTTGGGAGAGGAGAGGCTGTGGTGGAGCAAACCCTGTCCCAGGGAGCAGGAGGGCTGTGGGGTCCTTGTCCTTCACAGAGTTCTGGGCTTGCAGGTCTTTGGGAGCAAATACTTCTTTACCTAAAGCATTGAGCTGCCTGGTTTTAAAGCACAAAGTTTTACAGTCCCCATGACTCAAGGGGTTAATTAATTATAAGGTAATTATTTCCCTGGTCCTTGTGCTTGCCTCCAAGGAGAACATCCAAAAACCAGCTGCTGCTTGGGATCAGTCCTGGGAGTCACAGCTCAGCAGTGGCAGCAGAGCAGGTTGATGAGAACAAGCTCCCAAAATAAGGGCTTTAGGGGTTTCTGATGCTGTAAAACAGAAATACCTGTAAAGGGTGTTCCCACTTCTAAGTAACTGGCAGCAGGTACCCATCTCTCTGCAGGGAGCAGGATGCTGGTTGCATGGGCTGTGCCTGCAGCACTTGGGTTGTTGGTGCACTTCACAGCAGGTAAGAGATGGGGTTTTTTCCTGTGAAGCAATTAAAATCACTTAAAAGCAGCACTCGGGCTAATTACATGTTGGTTTCTGCTTCCATGTGGTGTGCCAGGAACCTGCCCTCTTGGCAGAGCAGAACATGGGTGCTTGATCAGGTTCCTAGTGCCATTTCTGTAAGGAAAAGAGAGTTCTGAAGGATCTCGCCTGGGGTTGTGCTTCCTTGGCTGATGGTTGGTAGCTTGGTCTCTGCCCCAGCTCATCAAACTGGTGCAAACTGGGCACAGCCAGCTCCCATGCCACGGCAGGACTTGTGCCATGACCAGTTTGGTGGTGGCCTCCTCCTCTGGGACACGACTTAGCACCGGGCTCAGGCTCAGTGGTTGGACTCAATGACCTTAGAGGTCTTCTCCGACCAGAAGCACCCCGTGGCTGGTTGTGCAGGAGCAGGGATCTCACCACTCTGTTCCCCATGCCATTCCAGAAGCCTGCAGCCCAGCCCACGTGCCAGCTGGCCAGCATCCCCACCACGCCGAGACCTGCGACAGAGGGACCATGACAGCTGACACCACTGCCCACGTCCAGCCCGGGACCAATGTCACCCTCTCCTGCCACATGTCCCACCCCCAGCATGGCAGGATAGCCATTTTCTTTAACGACTTTGAGCTAATTAGTAATAACAGCCACTCAGTCAGCACCAGGTTTGCAGTCCGTGCCTACGGCAGGTTCACCTTCACCTGCAAAAGAGTTTGGGAATACAAGAAAAAACTCATTTGTGGCATCACTATCAACTCTGGAAGTAAGAACTTAACTATTCCTTGTTCTGAAACGTTTCCTGTGCTGCCTCTGAGACACGTTAGGTGGCTGTTTCCAGGAAAGGTGCTGCCTTTTTAGTGGCTCTTTGTATTTAAAATATTCCTGGCCAGGACTGTGCAGCTCTGCTGTTGGCAAACAGAGATGTGAAATGAAGCTGCCTGCTCAGGGCAAGTATCACACTCTGCTCTTCTGCCCTTGACACCCACTGGTCACTCCAGGACACAGGGGACTTGCTTGGATTTTTCTCTAGCCTGATGAATCACCTGCTGGATCCTGCTTTTTCAATTTTAAAAAAAAAAAATAATTAAAAAATGAGAATAATGGTTGATTGCTTCAAGCAAAGCTGGTGGTGCCCAGGCTGGAGAGCTCTTGGTTACTTGTACTCATCTGGCACCCTTGTGAAGTCCCTGGGGTTGGACTCAAGGTCTCACCAGGCTTCAGGGATCACACACTCAACCATTTTCACACATAAAAACTACCAGCCTGAATATTTTGCACCTAATTGTCTGTAAATTCTTGGGGTGGGTGGGGGAGGGGGGGACAGAAGGCACCACAAACCCAGCATTCCTGGTAATGACACCTTCAAGGAAAGCTCTGATGCCAATATCTGCTTCAGACCCCCCAGATGAGCCCAGGAACGTGTCGTGTGTCCAGGAGGGAACCGATGGCCACCCCACCTGCAGCTGGGAGAAGGGCAGGTCCACCTACATCCCCACCTCCTACCTGCTTCAGTGAGTGACCCGGGGCCTCTCACACCCATCATCCTATCCCCAAGGTTGGGTTGGGGGTTTTTTTTGACACCATTCTTGGAAGACTTTCCCTTGCCCAAGCAGACAGAAGGGGCAGCTGGTGAATAAGTCCATCTGAGGCTGCCACGGCTGCATAAGCCAAGGGGGTGGTGAACACCCCTGTTCCTTCACCTCTGTGCACGTGGTGCTTGGGAATCTGTTCTTTTTTGCTTCCCAACCTGTATTGCTGCTCCCTTTGGTTTGGCCTGAGAACCATCATGGCAACTTCTGCAGCAAACAGGGAGGGAGGGAGCAAAGGTTCCCTGGAGCCATCAAGGCACTTTGGGAGAACTTTGGGTTTTGGGAAGCACCCTGCATAGGAGGAACCTTATGAAAAACCTCCATTCAAGCAAATGTCTGGGTAGAAAGAATTAATTTTGGCCTTTGAAAGCCACTGAGAAGGCTGAACTAATCCCCATTTGTCTCCAAAGTGCTGCATGTTGAACATCTCTTTGCCCTGTGAGGCTTACACTTCTTTGCCTTCTTCTTCTTCAACTTTCTTCTTCTTCAACCTTCTTCTTCACCTTCTTTTCAACCTTCTCCTTCACCACCTTCTTCAACCTTCTCCTTCATCACCTTCTCTTCAACCTTCTCCTTCACCACCTTCTCTTCAACCTTCTCCTTCATCACCTTCTCCTTCACCACCTTCTTCTTCAACCTTCTTCTTTGCCATCTTCTTCTTCAACTTTCTTTTTTGCCATCTTCTTCTTCAACCTTCTTCTTCTTCACCACCTTCTTCACCTTCCTCTTCACTTCCTTCTGTTAGCCAAAATAGCAGCAACATTCTTAGCAGCCTGTAGAAACCTGTTCCTGCTCCTTAAGCAGAAGGACACGGGGCAATGTGGAGAAGGTGAAGGGTGGGTAAGATCTCCTGTACTTGTAGCACCACAGAGATAGAGCAGTGCTGGCTGGTGAGCTGTTCAACATGCTACCAATTACAGAAGGTCAGCCTGAAGGGATGAGATACCAACATCTCTGATTCAGGTGGAAGAAAATGGAGAAAGAAGCTACAAGAGTCACCCAGGGCAACGGGGTGAACGACAGGCTGAGAATTCCAAGCTGTGTCTGAAGTGGTGTGATCATTAGACTGCAGATAAATTACACTTTTTATTACTAACTTCTGTAAAAAAACCCCAAACTCACCACCAAACTCACTGTGTTCCCCAAATTCTGTGTGCCAGCACCCGTGCTCATTCACAGGGAAGTGCCAGGTAACCAACAGGTGCCCAGGCTGCTTTTGGGAGGAACCTACTCACGTGCTTGCAGCTCAGTGGAAACCTGAGGTTGTTCCTTTGTCAGCAGTTTAACCCCAAAAGCAGATGCCCTGGTTTGAAAGCCAACCCATGGGGAATCTGCAGAAGAGCCACAGCCTCCAGGAACCTGGAACAGCTCGACCACGAGGGGCCACGAGCTGTGCCTGGTGCACCCAGGGTTCAGCTCTCTTGGGGTGCAGGAGGGTGCTGATCACATGCTGTCCTCTGTTCCAGGCTCTCAAACGGGACAGATGTCATCTGTGTGTCAGAAGAAAGCTTGAATGAGAAGTTTGGCTCGTTGACTCTGAGCAAGCTGGATTTTGACTCTAATTACACCGTCGTGGTCGTCGCCTCCAACGAGCTGGGAAGTGCTTTGTCACCTGAGCTCAGGTTCATGCTGGTGGACATCGGTAGGTTCCTCCTCCCCCCCAGTTGTCCCCAGCCCTGCAGAAAGATGTGAGAACACCTCCAGAGGTCACAGGATGGTTTGGGCTGGGAGGGACCTGAAAGATCCTCCACTTTTTGCAAGGGTGTGGAGGGATGGGATGAGGGAGAAGAGTTTCAGGCTGAAAGAGGGGAGACTGAGATGGGACATGGGGAAGAGATTCTGGGCTGTGAGGGTGGTGAGAGCCTGGCCCAGGTTGCCCAGGGAAGCTGTGGCTGCCCCATCCCTGGCAGTGTTGAAGGGCAGGTTGGATGGAGCTTGGAGCAGCCTGGGCTGGTGGGAGGTGTCCCTGCCCATGCAGGGGGTGGGACTGGATGAGCTTTAAGGTCCCTCCCAACCCAAACCAGTCTGGGATTCTGTGATTCCATGACAATTCCAACCCTCCTGCCACGGGCAGGAACACCTCCCAGCAGCCCAGCTGGCTCAAAGCCTTAACCCCCTGAGGAGAAGCCTCCATCCAGCCCAGCCCAGCTCCTCTCCTCCCCACGTCACCGTGTCCCTCAGCGCTCTCTGCTTCTCTCTGTTCCTGCCACTAGTGAAGCCACGTCCTCCCGACCTCCTGGTGGAATGTGGAAACTGTTCCTCCACCTCCTGCAGCTCCTCCTGGCTCGCCGAGGCCCCAGCACAGCTCTGCAGGCTGAGATTCCGCCCTCTCGCCGGGCACACCTGGAGCAGGGTAACCCTCCTGGGAATACAGCACATTCCCACCCTTGGGGTTTGCTTCCATCTTTCTTACCACTTTGCCCAAACTTGCCTTTCTCTGCTCTTCAACACCAGCTTGAAAACAACCAAACCTGCTGCCTGGTTAGGGCAAACCAAACCAAACCAAACCTGGTCAGGAACCATCACGGGGCTGAAACTGGACAAAGGCCAAGCCCTGATCTTGCAGAAAATGATGTCCATGAATATTGCCCCCCGTGCCAAGTGTCTGTGTGACACGTTGGAGAGTCAGAGCTTACGTTTGATCCACCATCTCACTGGAATGTGGTGGCATCTGCTCCTTGGAGCTCTTGGCTACAGCTGAGTAGCTTCCAGATGTTTGTGCTGATGGGAAGTCTTGGCCTGTCTTTCCAGTGGTGAAGGAAATGTCTTGCCTGAAGCTGAGGGAAACATCCAAAGGGAACATCTGTTCCCTTCACATGCTCAAGTGAGGGCTTTTCCTGAAGAGCTGCAAGTCTGATGGTTCATTGCACCATTCTTGGGGTGGCTGAAGTTGTCTCAGAGGAGGGTTTTTCCCCGTTGTGCTTTGAAGGGGTGTTTTGGCTGGCTGGGCTTCCTTTGGGCAGTCAGCCTGTCACTGCCTTCACCCTTGATTTCCCCCTAAGCCCAACATTCTGTCCTTTGTCTTCACTGAAGGTTGAAAACCTGACCAGTGGGACGTGCAACCTTCATGGCCTGGAGCCTCACACAACCTACGAGTTCCAGGTCAGCTGTAAAATCCACCCCGAGCGAGGCCTGTGGAGTGACTGGCAGGCCTACCAAGCCCAGACTCCTGAAGCAGGTAACACCACCCCTCCCCTGCACCAAGGCCAGCCCTTCACCAAGCCCAGAGGCTGGAAACTTCAGCTAACAAAGTCCAAATGCTGCTGGGTTTTTGCTGGAGGGTTTGCAGAGCAGATCCGGAGCCAACAGGGAAGCAACTTCTGCAAGAGAATTGCTCTTCTAAGGAGCAGAAGATGAAAGGGGTTCAAGTTTCTTGCCAAACAGGAATTGCAAGAGTTCACCAAGAAGTTCTGGAGGATCAATTCCTGTGGAAGGTTGGGGGGATTCTCTGGGAGCCGTGGTGACCTTCTGCATCCTGACACGTCTGGGGAAGGCAGAGACAGGCGGTGCAGCTGAGCTGGGGGGAGAAGGTGACTTCCCAGTGGTTCATAGCTGCTGAACTCCTGCAACAACCCCCTCCTCAGGGCTGTCTGGCTGCTCCACCACCCGCTGGGGCTCACGAGCCACAGCCTGGGAGCACGATCAGGGAACAGGCTTCTTAGCAGGGGCTGTAGTGACAGGACAAGGGGTGATGGTGTGAAGCTCAAGGAGAGTGGATCCAGCTGAGACAGAAGGAAGAAACTGCTTGCAATGAGAGGGGTGAAACACTGGCCCAGGTAGCACAGGGAGTTGGTAGAAGGCTCATCCCTGGAAACATTCAAGGGCAGGTTGGATGGGGCTTGGAGCAAGCTGGCCTAGTTGAAGATGTCCCTGCCCATGCAAGGGGCAGACTAGGTAGATCTTTAAGTTCCCTTCCAACCCAAACCAGTCTGGGATTCCATTTGCAGAGGAGCTGAGCAAGCTGGCCAGGAAACTGGCTGGCCCCTCCTGCTGCCACTGGCAGGTGGTCACAGACCTGCTTCATTTTGCCAAGGCATCTCTGCCCAAGGAGAGAAGCTCCTCAGGTGCCCCCTCCACGATGCTGTGGAGCTGCTGGAGACCTGAGGAGCTTCAGCAGAGCTGAACCTGCCCAGATGTTCAGGAGAGAGAGATCCCACCAGGAACTGGGGGGAGCAAAGAGTGTTTCTAACCCCGAGGCCAGCAGAGCAGACTCCAGGGACACCTGGCACCAACCTGAGGGCAGTTCTTCTGCTTTGTGGCAGCAGAGCTGGCTGCCCTGGGCTGGCTCTGGTCTCACACCCCTGCCTGCCTTCACCCTGAGCTGCACGAACCCACGGGCAGAACTTCCAGCTCTGAGGAGAGAAGAAAACTTCCCAGAAGTTTGTGTCTCACCAAGGCCACACGGGCTGCCTTGGCAACCCCTCCTTTCATCCCCAGCTTGGCTTTGGTTGCTCCTCCTGGTGAATGACTCTCAGCCCAGGGCTGTTATTACTCAGGTTACTACCACGACTGACGGCAACAGGACCATCGATTGATGCAGGAGGTGTGAACTGCTCCTTCCCTCCCCCACCTTCCTCTCAACAGCCTTCTCAAGTTTCTCACCACGGTGTTTGTGGTCATCACCTCCCTGCCCAGCCACTGCTACTCAACGAGAATCTTTTCAGCTCGGCAAGGAGCATTTTGCATCCTGAGGGGAGGTGACAGCAAGGGGAGAACCTCTGTGTACATCAAGGTGTACATCAAGGTGGCCCTTCTTGGAAGGAGATGAAGTCCTACACATGAGCTTGGCCTTCTGCAGGTTCACCTTTGCAATGGGATCATTTTTTGCTGCTTCTCCAAGCCTGACCTGCTTGGTGGCAGCACCATTTGCAAGTGCACAGATACATCATGATTCCCAGCTCATTGATGCAGTTCACGTGTGAAATGAGCTCCAAAAATCCAGACTGGAGTCCAACCAATGCTCTCCCATGTTTTAGTTTTTGCTGCTTTGAGCTTGCCCCTTCCTCCCTCACTCACAGGGAGTGTCCTCTGGTTTTATTTCTCCTCTCAGTCCTGCTTCTGGTTTCCATTCCAGTCACCCTGGGCAGCCAAGAGCACAAGCAGCTCCCAGTTTTGCTGCCACTGAGGGGTTTTTCTGTCTTTGCACTTAGAAAATCAGAGGCAGCCCCATTCCAGCTGGGGCTGTGCAGCTGCTGCCTGCTGCCCAGCTCCTTAGCAACACTTAGGATTGGAATTTGATGAGCTGATGTTGGTCAGGGACCTTGAGGAACCAACTGAGCTTCATTACCTTTGGTTAGATTGGCTTTCTTGTTGGGTGTGTCTCTGGGTCTGAAGTGATGGAGCACATTGTTCACCAGTTCCTGCAGCCAGAAGTTCACCTGAGTGTTACTTTGGAAGGTTTATTCAGAACATCAGGGGGTTCCAGTCACTCTGAGACTGCAATCACAGAATCCCAGGTTGGAAGGGACCTCAAGGGTCATCTGGTCCAGCCTTTGGTGGCAGAAGCAGGGTCTGGGTATGTTGGTCCAGCTCCCTGTCCAGCTGAATCTTAACAGTGTCCAATGTTGAGGGATCCACCACTTCCCTAGGGAGGTTATTCCAGAAACATTGTTCTCATTGTGAAAAACGTTCCTCCTGTGTCCAGCTGGAATCTCCCCAGGAGTACAGACCCATCACCTCTGGTGGGTCATTGGTCTAGGATTGATGCAGCCAACCCCAGGGACTCCAATCAGCCTCAATTTTTATGCAGATGAGAGCTCCTGCTGTCCCTTTGGTGCTTGGGCTTCCCTGGGAGCCATCCTGACCCCTGAGCACGGGATAAAGTCACCAGCAAAGCAAAACCCTCTCAGGTCTATGGCTTGTTCTCCTCACGAGGGCCACCAGCAGCACAGCCCGATTCCACCTGCAGCTTCAGGCTGTTGCCTGCTGCATCATTCCAGAGACACTGTAAATCTTCGTTTTCAGTTCTCAGTTACCTCCTCTCTCAGTTACCTCCTTCCCCTATTCCACATCTTGTTTCTTTGCTCCCAAGCACAGTGGTTAATCCTCCTCCCCCTTTTCCTTCCCCTCCAGAGCCCACCGGGCGCCTGGACGTCTGGTACCACCAGCAGGATGTGGACTCCCAGAGGCAGAACATCTCTCTTTTTTGGAAGGTAAGTCACTAGAAAGCTGAGCAGGTGGAGGGGGAGACTCTGCTTTTGGTGTTGGCAGGAGAGGGACAAACCCCAGGGCCAGCAGCAGGGACACAGATCAGCTCTGCAGCCCAAGGCTGGTCTCCCTGGGAGGTTCATCAGCTCTTTTCTACCCACAATTTCCTGCTACATTTCCCAAAACTTTCTGTTCCTGGAGTATAACACATTCCCAGCACATCCCATCAGTGGGTAGGAGTGGAGGTAGCACAGCTTGGTTTCCACCTTCCAAGGAGACCCCTTCCCTCATGGTGACCTGTGTCCCTGATGATGGCAGCCTGGTCTAGTGGGAGGGGTCCCTGCTCATGGCAGGGGGTTGGAACTAGATGATCTTTAAGGTCCCTTCCAACCTTGATGATTCTATGCTCCTATGATCCATCTGGAGTGACAGACAACAACCTTACAGGCTCCTAAGCCTGTCCAAAGGAGCTGGCTGACAGCAGAGCTGCAGACCTGAAACTGGACAAACTCACAGTAGAAAAACATTGGACTTTTGTCCAAGAGGAATTTTTGGGTTGTGGGAAGCTGTAGAATCCCAGACTGTTTGGGGCTGGAAGGGACCTTCAAGATCATCCAGTCCCAACCCCCTGCATGGGCAGGGACACCTCCCAGCAGCCCAGGCTGCTCCAAGCCCCATCCAACCTGCCCTTCAACACTGCCAGGGATGGGGCAGCCACGGCTTCTCACACCTTCTTTTGCTTTCAAAAGCAAAAGTGGTTTTACTTCAAAGCCAGGAAGATACTTTTTCTTTGCTTGCTTTAAAAGCATGAACCCCCTGGACTCCCAGTTTGCAGCCTCCAGTTAACCCAGCACTGAACATCCCCTGCCCACACCAGCAGCACCCGCCGCCTGCCAGAGCAGAAGCTTTCCCATCACTATGTGACTCCAGCCCTTGTGGCTTTAAGACCTTTAGCTTTGAGACCTTCACACTTCAACCTCAACCTGGGCAGCACTTCCCACACCAGAGCCAACTTCCTCAGCACCAGGCACGGCAGGGCTGCAGGACACTGCTCTCAGGGCTTCCACAGCAGCTGCAAGGCAAGCAACCCACTGCTTGGTGCTGCCCACGGCTGCCACCAGTTTCCCACCAGCACACTGCCCGTGCACATTCCAATTTCTGCCCCCAAATCCCAAAGGAAGCCTTTCATTCCATTTCCACCACCTTGCAAAGGGGGTTTGGGAGCTGCCTTCAGCCCCACTCCCTGCCAAAGCCAAGGGAACACTGCAAGCATTTTCCTCTTCAAACATTTTCCTATTTTTACAAGTGGGGTTTTTTTTCTTCCCCACCCCCTTCCTTTTCTTGTTTTATGACAGAAAAAAAAAACCAAAACCAAACCAAACCCAGGCAAACAATGACCCAAGTGCAGAGAAACTGCAGGAAATGGTGAAACCGAGAGTAGAGACACCCAGGGAGGGGGGAAACCAGCATGAGGTGTCACAGACTGGGTAGAGATGAGTCCTTCTGAGGTGCTGAATGACAGTCATTTGCATTTGTATTTTTAGTAAGTTAAATTAACAATAGTCACAGGATACATGGGGTTGGGAGGGACCTCTGGAGGTCATCGGGTCCAACCCCAAATAATCCCATATTGGGGCTTCAAGTCAAAACCTGGATTTTCCCCAAAATCAAAAGTATTTTTTAGCTGCCCCATCCCTGGAGGTGTTGAAGGGCAGGTTGGATGGGGCTTGGAGCAGCCTGGGCTGGTGGGAGGTGTCCCTGCCCATGCAGGGGGGTTGGAATGAGATGATCACCCAGGTTCCTCCCAACCCAAACCATCCTCTGATTCCATGAAAAACTGCTCATTTTTACAAACATCACAGAGGTGCTCCTGGCCCTACGGTCAGGGAATCAATTCATTTGTCATTGATTTACCAGGGATGGATGCCACGAGTTCCCAGGAGCAGGGCAGTGGTGGAGCTGGGATGAGGCAAGGGAATGGAGATCTGGGATTGCAGCAGCAAATCCAAAGGGCAAGAACCAGCCCAGGCTGTTACACATCACAGCAGGGACACACACCTGCACACAAAAAGGGAAAAAAACCCCAAATCCTCCCCCTGCTGCCAAGACACTCACTTGCTTCGTAAAATACAGGGTATTTTTAGCAAGAAAATGGCTGCTGAGGGAACCACGTTGGCTTTGACACGTCCCAGCTCCTGCTGGGTAAAGGGAACTGGGGCTGGTCTGGGGTTTTTATTCTGAAAAAGATGTAGCAGAGAAGAAAGGCTTCATCAAAGCGTGGGAAAAGAAAGTCCCCGAAGGCTGCGTGGTCTGTGCTGCACGGCTGGGCTTGCTGGGGCTGGCAGAGGAGAGCAAAAGTGGGAAGGGATGGTCAGTGCCCAGAGCAGCCGGCCGGGAGGTGCTGCCTGTGGGCAGTGCTGGGCTGGGCTGGGCTGCGGGTGGA